ATAGAAGGAAATCTACCAAAAACCCTCATCAAATTCTAATACCTTTACTTTTCAATATTAAATTAAAAAGTTACTATTGAATAATTGATACCAGAATATTTACTCAAGCATATTTGTGAATGAAATTCAGTTGAACTTATCTTTATGAATTTTGGGGAAAATGTGACTTTATTTAGTCTTTTTTTGCTGAGAAAGGAATGCGGGGGTTTATCTCTCTTGAGAACTTAAATCTGTGTATTGTTGCTATGCAATGTAATGCAACACCAAAGGAAATGATACAAGAAGGGAAAGGTATAGAGAGGGGAAAAGAATAAGAAAAGGGAGAAGTTTAAATACGTGTTACTAATTTGACTACATTTATTTTTATAAAATGTTGCTTAAATTTGTTAGCCAGTTCCTTTCCTCCCTTCCCATATCATGTAAATAGAACTTGAGAAATTAAACAATGGCTTAGAAACAGGTAGAGTATTAATATTTAACTCTGTATCCCACAGATATGTAAAATCAACTGTTACAATAAAAAATAAATAAAAAGAAATGGGTAGAGGAGGTTAGTTATGAAGGTTTATACTTAAAACCTGGGAGATTAGACATCCTTTTTACAATGAGAACTTGCGGAAAAATATGTATTGTTGGACTGGTGAATCAGAGGAATTCAGTTCCCTCTGTCAAGGTCAACACAATTAGCATTTACTCAAGGAAGAGATTAATTTGAGTGTTTTCTCTTTGACTTCACTATTTCAGCCACTTTCTCATTTAAAACTTAATTTGGGTCTGTGGGGTGGGACTGGGAATTATCCCTCCAAGTCTATGCCACACAGACTGGAAAAGGCAAAGAATTAGAGAGCCAAGGTGCCACTTTCAGCTCTCCTTTCTACATTGAGACCATGATCTGGATAGCCTTCATTTTGCCACCCACCCTTTTAAATTTTTTTGTTTTTAATAAGGTCGTTGTCTCTTTCTCATTTCAAAATTATACATATTCATAATAAAAAAACCCTAGAAATTACAGAATAGAAAGCAAAAGGAAGTAAAATTATTCATCTGTAATCTTATAACTCAGAAGTGACAAAATTAACTTCTAGTGTATTTCCCTTCAGTGTCTTTTCAATGGGTCGCACACAAACGTATACATTTATTTAATATATCCTTTTTATTAAAAAGATCTTTCGCTCTCTTTCTGATTTTAAAATTATGCATATTCATGATAAAAAACTAGAAATTACAGAACAATTGAAACCAGAAGAAAATAGTTATTCACCCATCATCCTACAACTCAGTGACAACAGCTAATTTTCAGAGTATTTCCCTTTAGTGTCTTTTCACTGGGTCACACATACATGTATGTTTATATAATATATACTTTTTATTTAGAAATAATTATAGATTCATAGTGTTTAACCTTTTTATGTAACATATCATGAATATTCTCCCTTCATTAGAAATTTTTAAAAATAACATTTTCTGAGGTTGCAACTTACAGTGGCAGCATTATTTAAAAAAGAAAATTACTAAATATCTCTATATTATAAAGTAATTTTAGTTCCTAAAATTAATTTACATCTCCAATCATTTTCTTAGGATAGACTCTTTGATGTAAAATTTTGGGTTAAAAAGAACACTTATTTTTGAAATAAATATATGCTTATTATATATAGTACTGAAATAAATACTGTCAAATTTCAATGCAGAAACAGCATATAAATTTAATCTCACCAGAAATGTATAAGAATCCCAAGTTTTTCTCATCCTTAACAGCATAAAGCATTATTTCCTTAAAATTTTTTTTGCTACTTCATTGGCCTTTTCTGCACTGTGAAGCTGATAGTATTTGTTAGGAAATACTATCTGTAATGAGTTCTGGAATAATTACATAAACTGCAAAAGAAAAGTTATGCCATTTCAGCTTAATTAGAATAGTTAGCTGAAACAGCTGTCATTTTCCAATGCCAACTGTATATTATTTAGGTGGCTACTGGGCTAGAAAAAAAGACTTAAGCTCTTCGCAATGACGTTTCTAATACATTTTCATCACTACTTTATTTCACTTTAATTTTTTTTTCAGAGGAAACATTTCCGTTTAAAGGGTCTTTATTCCAAGCAGTACGTCTTCTTTCTCTTATGAAAAAAATTAATTTACAGATGCTCAGAAAAAGTTACCCTTCTCAAGATAGCCTTCTCCCCCTCCTCCTTCCACCTCCAACCCTCCTATATAAAATGTCAGAATAGACTTCTCCAGCTTCCTCTTAAAAATTGCCTTATTTATGCTCTTTAATTTCCTAGAACTAAACTGAAGAGTGGTAATAAAGTTAATTAAATAGGAGGCAAATGAATATTTATGAAAATAGTTTGAGGCAAATCTGTGATTTAACAAAGTTTATTTTGCTCTTATCAAAAAAACAAGCCAAAAAAAATAACCATTTATTGAAAACCCATGTGCCAGGCAGTTTGCAATATGCTATTGACATAGAATGAAAAAGATAGTCTCTACTCTCCAAGGGATCACAAATTGATAGGCGTAACAGACTTAAGAAATCATAGTAATATGATAAGTGCTTATAAAAGATGTAGGTGCAAGGCTCAGGAAGACAAGGCAGCTAATTGTCTAGGCAGCTAAGTTGCAAGACAGGATGTTGGGAGACCACTTAAAGGGGCACAGAATTTTAAGGGCCTAAGCTAGTGGTTCCCAAACTTTAGCGTGGGTCAGAATCACCTGGATGACTTGTTAAAACACAGATTATCAGGCTTGATCCCCAGACTTTCCAATTGGAAATGAGGCCTACGAATTTGCATTTCTAACAAGTTCTCAGATAGCTTAGGGTATCTCCCAGGGTTTTGACTCGAGCACCTGGGAAGATTCTGGTGTCATAAAACTGAAGAGGGAAAACATGAAGTGCTTTTTTTACCCAGCAATTCCCCTTGCCTTTCAGTGCTGTTTCCTCTAATTCTCCAAGGTTTACCTGTCACCTGCTGGTTGTCTCTTTACTCGAGCATCTCTTCCTTATAAGCAGCATCTCATGAGGCTGAATTCTAACTGGCCTCATTTGAATGTCTCTGGCTTATGCTACCAGGACCCAGCTCTCTATTAGCTTACAATAAACCCAAATAGACTAATGTGTCATTGATTATGAGTGTGGGGATTTGATGCTTCTCCGGGGTGACAAATTTCTACTTTAACAGTAGTCTTCCTGAAACCATGACTCAGCCCACTGCTGTGTCTCAAGTGAGAAGTTCAGACTCTACAACAGGCAATGGGGAGGATTTGTTCCTTGATGGTGGGGGGTCTTCTGACATCCCTCAGTGAACGAAGACTGGCTCTGCCAATGTGCAGAGGCCTATATAAGTGACAAATGCCTGTTAAAATTTCTGTTCTTGAATCCTACCCCAGCTGGGGTGGGCCACAAATTGGTATGACTTAATTTTGCCAAGGAAAAATAACAGTGACTTTTAAAGATTTTTCTATTTACTTGTAATATAATAACCCTCTACTCTGAATAACTTATTTTAATTATATGTACAGGAAGCAGATTAGATGGTGGCCATAAAATCTTCTTCCTTGAATCAAATTATGTACATGTATGTGCATATATGCACACATATACTCCTTGAGAAAAGTTACTTTACACCTCTTTCTATTGGATTTTCATCTATACAATTAGGACTGCAAAAAGCCTTGCAAAGTGTGGGGTGAATTAAATGAAATAATGTATGTAAAGTGTATAGTAAATATTCTCTTCTGTCCTTCTCTTTTCCCCTTGATGATTTGTTATCTAGTCACTCTGGTGGAAAATGATCAAACTCTGGACATCTTTGAAAGGAACCATTGTTTGGAATGAATGAAGTAGACGGTGACATCATATTGATCAGGGTATACCCAATGATCCAACTGCAGATGTCCACAGTCTGTAAAAACTTTTATTTTGCAAATGCCATCAGTAAATGTGTAAGACTAATGTTAAGGGTTGACTCATTTAAATTTGATTTTCTTAGGCTTCTCACTCTAATACTTCCCTCATTCCCCCTCCAATCATAGAAGTTATTGTATATTTGATTTTGATGTAGTTATGTTCTCACGGCTTGAAGAAATTTAACCCTTTCCTACAACAGGGGGAAAAAAAATATTAAGCATTACCAAAAAGGTTGAGAGCATGCTGTGTTCTGGTCCTTACTTTCTCAGTTATAAGTTTTATATGTTCTAAATGGCAACATGGCTTGTTTTAATACTAGCCATGTTCACACTTTGGGAGTTTTATCGTGGCGCCCGTGAAGATTTGATCAGTAGGTATTTGCAGGATCTCATTAGAATGCTGTAATAGTTATTCTTTGAGTACTTAATGTGCAAGAACTCTGCAAGATCTATATGCCTACCTATACCCATACACATATGAATTCCCATACCTATAATCATCAACCATAGCACCCCAGGGGTTTTAATAAAAGTCCTGGAAGGAGAGATGTAGATCATGCCTTCATTATTCCTTGTCATGAACACTAATAAAAGCATTTGCTTTCCAACTTTGGAAAGACATTGTCTTCAAGAATCTGATAAATCAGATCTCCCATTCTTTGTTAAATTCTTTGCATAAAAAATACTGGAAGAGAAATCTTTTGTCAGGAAACTTGATTATTTCTAAAGTCATTTTATCGATGTCCCCAGTTGCCCCCAAACCTTGCCTGACTCAGCTAAAGGGTATATGGCAATATCCAATCAATGCTAAAATATATGTCTGAGGAAAATCTCTGATAAATGTTGCATAGGGAAAAAAATCAAAGTTATAATCATAAGACAATAAGTACCACTTCACTTCAAGGGTCAAAAAGTTGACTTGGCCCTAGGATCAGGCTCAATTTCTGTTCTTCCTAGAAACTTTCCAAAGCAGCCCTTGCTTTTAAAGTTGATAGTTCCATAGTTTAGTTTATTTTATCAAGTGTGTTCACCTTGAGTAAGTTTAATAAGTTTTATCTTTGTGAGGCTTAATTCAGCATGCTCTTGTACTCACCTATGAATCTTATGATCCTTCGGAGTAAGGGGTTCAGGTAACAGCATTCTCCAGTCAGAATTGTTTTCTCCTGGGCAATCAGGGATTCTCTTGTTGATTTTATGAAATACATGGATATCTCACCAATAAAAATCTGGGGAAGAAATGTTTTTAAAATGTCACGTTGAAGAGTTGTTTGATAAAAGAGACCAGTGGCTTTAAAAGAAAAAAACCCCAAAAAACAAACTTTTGAAGATCCACAATCCTTTTAAAACATATCATGTTGGAGATATGGAGAGTTATATAGTAGCTTTCATTGAACACTTCAAAAGAATTAGAGAGCAATAATTGATAATTTCAGATAGCATTCAGGCTGTAATATTAAAATTTTTATTTTATTTTAACTTCTCAGTATACATTGTAGCTGATTTTCGTGTCCCTTTACCCATTCCTCTTTCCCCCCTCCCTCTCTCGCCAACCCCCTCACTACATCATATCTGTTCACTTGTCTTAACAAGTTCAAGGAATTATTGTAATTGTTGTGTCTTCTTCCCCCCGCCTACCCTTTGTTTGTTGTAATACTAAATTCTAAGGTCATATAAAACATAACTTGAAATACTAAATTGTTATAGAATTTATGATTAAGCTCATGCTGGGACTGAATTTATTTTTTAACTCAGTGTGTGAGTTCAATGATGAAGAATGATTCAGACAGCCAATGTGCCCAAGAAGGCATTATAAATACACGTTACAATAAATTATTACTTCATTATGCAACAACATTTCCCCAGAAAAATGTGATTTTATAGATGGTCTTTTTACTATACATAGATCTATGATTTTAGAAAAATTTTATCAATGGTTTAAGAATTCCCATACCTTGTATTCCTCCTGTCATTGTGGAATATCTGTTTAGATGGATAAAGATGATAATATCATGAAAGGCACATGGGTAATGGAAATTAAAGTATAAAATTTTAAAACTGGAATCATTTATAACTGTTTTTCTATTCCCCTTATTGGTAAGAAAATTAAGAGTTGCAGGAACTCGGCGACCCACAGCCAGACAGTGTCTAAAGCAGCTCTAGAATGTAGCCTACAGTTCTATTTCCACTACATCATTCTATCTCATACTTTAACATCATATGCATCTTTCAGTGCTTAAAGCAGATTACATTTAACCTGGTTTGTTTCCTGGGTCCTCAATATTAAGTACAAATTCAACAGATATTATTTTTTGAGTCACTACTATGAACAAGTGTAGTGGTTAAAAGAGGAAGAACAGTGAAGCCAGGTTTTCTTGCCTTCAAAGCAGGTGTTGGTGACTTATTATCTCTAATGACCCTGAACAAATTATTTAACCCTTCCATGCCTCAGTTGTCTTATCTGTACAATCAGGATAACAGTGTCTATTTGTAGATTTAATCAAATATATACATGCATATATGCACACACGTGTATATATATATGTATCTGTGTGTGTTTATATATGAATTGCTTAGAACATATTATATAGCAACATAATATGTGCTATATAAGAGGCTGAAGTTGTTATCCTTGATGATATAACAAAAATAACTACATTAATATTTTCATCATTATCATTATTACTATCATTATATTATCATGAAGCACTTTGCTAGATCACTAGGGAGGCAGATTCTGAGATGAATAAAATGCCTCTATCCTCCATGAGAACATAATCTACTAAGGAACACACACACAGAGATCCTGTAAAATTAAACAGATTGTGTCTTATATATACCACAAGAGAAAAGTGCTAAGAAGCCAAGGTTCCTGGGTAGATTAAGGGGATTTCTCTCCACTAGGCAAGCTGGGTTTGCTGTAGTCAGTTTTCATTCTTAATGCCAAATGTACCTCATGGCTAGGAGACTCTGCTGCTTGTTGTATATTTATAATATGTCATCTTTATTTACAGGAGGGCCTTTTGCCTCCTCTGCCAAGAGCACTTGATCCAGACCACTATTAAGGTTCTTACCCCTTCACATGGAAAATGTCAATCTATCCCTCAAGACTCTGAGCTTCTCCAGTTGAGGGCCATTAATGTTTCTGTTATTGCTCATACTCCCTGCCCAGAACCTGGAGCATGATTAGTTCTTTAAAAAAAAAAAAGCTTTAATTTGAATTTTATTTAAAAGGAAAGAAGACTGAACATTTTATGTAGCCTGGAGGAGTCTTGCTGTCTTACAGGCAACCAGGCCCTTGAAATCCCCATAGCTCAGCAAAGCCTTAGAGTTCTCTCCTTGATTCATGACCCACCTTACTGGAGACATCCTAAATCTGGATAGTGTGATCTTGAAATAAACAGCTCTAGTTTGCATTGACATTAGAGAAAATATGGGGAAGGGAGAGAAAGAACCATTTGAAAGTAGAAAAGTCATTATTACAGGCTAAGATGATTGTAACAGTCACAAGCCAGTTTAATTATTTTGACAAAATGCTACTTTAAATATTTTAGTAGTCATATTTAGTTGTGACTACATCTTAGCCAGAATGTTTTTAACAGCACAAAATTATTCTTAGCCTTTAGATCTGAAGAACCTGCTTTACAGCTCTGTCACACTCTAAAAAGTGACAAGACTCCCTTGGGGTTGGAGGACGCTGTTCAGCTCCAGCAGAGATGGGGCAGATGTGTAGAATGACATGGTACCACGGGAGCCAAATGACAGAGGAATCCACCAGGAAGAGCCAGTGGGGTCCACCTAGAGGCATGGCATAGGTGGGTTGCAGGAGGGATAGTAGCTCATTATTGGCACCAAGGGATCTGAACAAGTCAGAACCAGGGTGGGAAGTAGGTGGAAATAGAATTCGAAGTAAGACAAATGATGACCCAGCATGGATCACCTTGGCAGGCAATGTCCGGGTGTGGTTGTGTAGAGTTACAAATATTTTGTACCTACCATCCCTTGGAATTAATGATGAATTGATGCTCTGCCATGTGAACGTATTTGCATAGCTTCAGGAACTCAGCCCTCTCTTTTTCCTCATAAGACCTATCTCTGCCAAAATAAAGTGCCAACAAGCTTTGTTTTTCTCTAATGTGTATAATGGAACTTCATTACTATTCTTTATCTTAGTGAACAGATGAGGATAAATTCATGCATGCTTGGATAAATGAAATAGTATCATTTGATACTATTGAAAGCTTGAGGGAGCTTTTCCTACAGACTAGATTAGGTATTCCTATTTTACATGAATCTCTTCTATTATTTCTCTTTTCTAGTTCTTATCACAAATATTTTTATTGGTTTTCTTAGTTATGGGATGTCCTGCCTATCTTATTCTAGGTTGTACTCCTAGAACCTAGACCCGTGTAAGATATATAGCAGTTTCTCAATGTTGAATGAATTAAGCATATCAGATTAATGAGGGTCCTTTAGAATACAAGTTTAATAAAGCAGACTAAAAGAAGAAAAAATGATTTATGTGTCTTTCAAGATGCAGTGAAAATGTCACTGCCTTAGGTGAAGCGTTTCCATGTCCCCTCAAGAAAATGGAGACCCGCTTATTGTCGCTACCACAGCACATTATACAGATTTCTACCCATACCTACCTAATTAATTGCTATTATTGTCTATATGTCCCCCTCCATTTGAGTCCTTGCGGGAATAACGTTTGTCTTTCCTTGTACAGTGCCTAGGGCAGAGCCTGGAATATAGTAGGCTCCATTAATATTTGTTAAATGAATAAGAGGTTAAATCCTTGAAGGACTTACTAATGGATAGAACTCTCCAACTGTACTTTCCCTTAAGATGAACATTTGAAATCCCCAGTATGTACCAGAAGTCACAGAATTCTTGTTGTATTGCTTAAGAATAAATAAAGCCAGAAATTAAATAATGTAAAGTGAACTATCTCTTTTATTCTAAATTGACTTATTTACTCATTTAGCACTCAACAGCTCTTGGGAGGGGAGGACGCTCTCTGCGCCTGGTGTTGTTCTAGCAGGGCAGACACAGAAGTGAACAGATATATATAGTGGGGGAATACAAATCAATGAATGAATATCTCATATAATGTGTGATTGTGATGTGATGAGAAATACAATGGCCTCTGGATCATATGGTAGTTCTATTTGTAACTTTTTGAGGAACCTCCATACTCTTTTCTATAATAGCTGTACTAATTTCCACTCCCACCAACAGTGTGCAAAGGTGACCTTTACGCCATATTCTCAGCAATACTTATCTTTTGTCTGTTTGATAATAGCCATTCTAACAGGTGTGAGGTGATATTTCATTGTGATTTTAATTCGCATTTTCCTGATGATTAGCGATGATGAGCATTTTTTTGATATACCGGTTGGCTGTTTTTATGTCATCTTAGGAAATGTCTATTCAGGTCGTTTGCCCATTTGTTAAATTGAGTTGTTTTCTTGCTATTGAGCTGAGTTCCTTATATATTTTGGATATTAACCCCTTATCAGATATATGCTTTGCAAATATTTTCTTTCATACTATAGGTTGTCTCTTCACTCTATTGATTGTTTTCTTTGCTATGCACAAGATTTTTAGTTTGATGTAATCCCATTTGCTTATTTTTGTAGCCTATGCTTTTGGGGTCACAACCATTGCCCAGTCCTATGTCATGAAGGTTTTCCCCTATGCTTTCTTCTGGTAGTTACATAGTTTTAGGTCTTAGATTTGAGTTGGTTTTTGTAAATGATATGAGATAAGGGTCTAATTTCATATTTCTGTTTGTGGATATCCAGTTTTCCCAACCCCATTTATTGAAGAGAGACTGTCCTTTCTCCATTGTGTATTCTTGGAAACTTTGTCAAAAATAGGCTGGTTGAAAAATGTGTGAATTTATTTCTGGGCTCTCTACACTGTTTCATTGGTCTCTGTGTCTGTTTTTATGCTAGTGCCCTGCTGTTTGGGTTACTATAGCTTTATTGTATATTTTGAGGTCAGATAGTGTCATACCTCCAGCTGTGCTCTTTTTGTTCAAGATTGCTTTGGCCATCTGGGGTCATTTGTAGTTCCATACAAATTTTAAAATTGTTTTTTCTATTTCTGTGAAGAATGTCATTGATTGCATTGATCTGTAGATTGCTTTGGGTAGTATGGACATTTTAACATTAGTTCTTTCAATCCATAAACATGGGAAATATTTCCATTTAATTGTGTCTTC